GAGGGTTCCCTTCCAGCCCCCTGATCAGCACAAGTACCAAACACACCAGGAACCATTGTCCCAGCACATCCGCAGCCAGACTCTAAGAGGCTGGGAACTGTAAACACGTTGTCAGGTTGTGAAATGCCCATTGATTCTCAGGACTGTAATCACCATGGGAAGAAAGGTGGCTATCGCTTAGGAGCGACAGCCTGAAGATCAGGCTTTCCCCCTTGGCTATCTTGCAGTTTTTCTATGGGAGTTTCAATTCTTATGTCCTGGTTTTCTCACCAATAAACCCAAGTGACTAATAAGGACCAGTCTTCCCAGGAACAGCTGAACACTATTTGTGGATATTGCACAGAGCATTCATGATAGCTAACATTTTTCTGGTGGGTGAAACCTGCTGAGACCCAGAGCTAATTATTCCTTGGTGTGATTCAAGGGGGTATGGCCAAGAATAGCAGCAAAATGAGCAGCAAAAGACTTACCAGGAAATAAAGTGTAATGGTAAAATCTATTAGAGCATGGAACTGGCTTCTGGGGAAAAGGCAAGGGCTCCATTCATTGGGCTAATTAAAAAAGACACCACCACCAACACCTTATAGGCAACAATCCTCTTTGCTTCTTTAGGATGGACTATCTAGCTGAACAAAGAGGAGGCCGACTCCTATAATTCTGCTATACCTGTGTGACTGTAGAGAAATGCTTTTTACTCTTAATTATATTATTCCTTGTATACACCAGGGTTAGTGAGAGAGAATTTCTCTGGGTCTTTTCCGTCTGTTAAGTTCCATGGTTTGTGATTCACTTTAAAAAAACAAGGGTGGTTGAAAAAAAAGAGTTGTTTTCAGCTGTGTGGTGATGAAATACAGTAACTGAAAATGCTGTGGGTTTTGAGGTTGGATTTTGTGATTAAAATATTGTTAGGTTCAGGATAGGATTGGTTGGTAAAATGAGTTACAGTAAGACATTATGCTTTCACCTCTAGAAAGTTGAGTTCAAGCCCTGTTTAAGATCACAAAACCAGTAAGTAGTTCAGGATGATTAACAGTTTCTGAACAGGACAGGACAGGAACACCCAGGGGCTGGGAAGGTCAGGTTGGATTCCCACCATAGAGGCCCTGGCCTCAAGCACAGGAGGGCACTGCAGGCGAAGGCAGACCTCTGCTGGCATGGAGACAAGGGGGGCAAAAATCACTGCCACAGGAGATGCTGAGGGTCCAGATGAGGGCTATGTGGCCATGTGGTTGCGGTGGGCACCACATGAAGCACATGCCCTGCATGCCAGTGGTAGAGGCTCAATCCTGTTTTGTCCCACCACCTCAGTCAGTCTATGACAGCAGGCATGGGCCACACTACTTCTATAAAACAGTGCAACAATACAGACCGCTGTGCATTTCTTCCTACGTGAGGTAACCAGATTGATCCTTAAAACAATGATGCTCCTCAAGACTCCCATTTTGCAATTTGTTTATGTTGAGCATCATAAGCTTCTGATTCAAACAGCCAAGCTGCAGAAGAAATGTTGCCAGGAACCCTATTGAGTTCATTTCCCCCCCACGGTTTCAGTTTTAGCCTATCTCAACAAGATGTGTACTCATCAAATACGCAACTTGCAGACATGCAGGCCAGAGAGCTGTAACCAGCTTCGATGCCCTTCAAGCTGCTAAATGGAAACCAATGCAGCAAGCAGATTTGGACCTCTGCTCTCGAGCAGCTGAGGCCAACCCACTACCCAAGTACTACTTGCACTTGAAATACAGCACAGATAGGGTGTAAGTGGCATATCGTCACTGTTCTGGTGCTGTGCATTTACCCTAAATGCAATTAATGTGGTTACTGCTAGCAGAGAGTTACAGATCTACTCACAAGTTAATAGCTGCTAAGATCTTTTCTAGTTGTCTGGAAATAAAACTGAACTTTTTTCATAGCATAGTATTAGGTATTTTCTGTTATTTCTGGGATTTTGTAAAGTACTATCAGAGGGTTTTTTGATTTGTTTGTTTGCTTATTTTCTGTAATTTCAGTGATTCCTAGAACAAAACAAATTTTATCCAATTTGAACTTGAGTACTTCAGTGAAAGAAAACTAAAATGTTTTCTTTTAGCACTCACTTAGCAAACAGTTCTAGTTTATCTGTGAGCTTGGTTAACAGGGGGAGCTACAAACATTCAAAACCACAACATGCTTCCAAAGTGTTTTAGAGAGCTGGGTATTATTTGATCCATTTTATAGACTGGTCCCAGTTGGTGCATAGAACAGAGCCCAGCTCTAGTCCCATGTCCTTTATGGTAACCATCAGCCCACAATACTATTTGTATGAGCTTCTTTTGACTCTGCTTAGCTAGTCAGGAATTCAGAGGTACTGCACTTACTTACCTTTTCTCGAGTAAAGGAAAACCTAGCCTTAGGTTTGGGATAACCCAAAATGCAATTAACAAATTCATTCAATTTCTGCAGTAAGAAAGTATCCAGTTCAGTAAGGAAAAGTGTGGCACCTCCAGAAATCCTTTTTAATGCTTCCTTTCTTCTGAGGAGCAGAAACATACTGTCCTAGAAAACTTAAGTATCTCCAAAATTTGGCTTTAGGAGGAGCCCTGGAAAACCAGCAAATTCAGGTTCATCCTGGCAGAGGCAGTGGTTTCCAGTGTCCTCATTTCCCTACAGAGACCTCCTCATTTCTAGCAAGGGGGCTGTGGTGCAGAAGCTCCTGATGAGAGCTGCTGTGACAGTATGTAAGGGGAGAGTCATCATGTGCTCCCAATATGACTCCCTGAACAAGTGCAAGAACAAGTGCTGTGTTTCTGCAGTAGCTGCCATCTCCAGATGGATTCAAGATATGACTAAAGGAAAGCTTATTGCAGCAGCCTAAGTCTGCTGGATCTGGAAATGTGGGTGGATAACACCCCATTGAAGGGCAGTGTTGCAAAACTGGGGAGTCACATTGCCCTTTCCATCAGAACGATTCCCAGAGCGTCATTCCCTAGACGTTTGCATCACTTTTCCTTGCACTCTCCCAGGTTCAGTCATTGTTTTCCCAGTGCTATCCACGTGGCAGCCTTGCACAACACCTGTGAGGCTCCTTGGGAAGCACCCAGGCTTGGCCGCCAGCAGGTGAGGGCTCCCAGGGGAGCCCTCGGCCTAATCCGGCAGCCCCATGGCTCATCGGGGCAGCAGCTTTGTGTCCCTCTTAAATATCAGAGATGTGAAACGCAAGTGCGTATGTCACAGCGGAGTCAGGGCAGCCCACGCATCCTGCCAAGAGAAGCACGGTGTCCCCACGCCGCCCCTGCCCCGGCAGCCCGGGGCCTGTGCTGCAGAGCAGGAACAAAACAAACCACTGCGGAAGTGTGGTTAACAACGCCCGGCACGACGCGTTCTCGACAGCCTGGCTTCGTGCTGGGGCGAGCCGGTGGGAACAGGGCATGCTGCGGCAGGCAGGCCCTTCAGGCCGGGCCCTGCCCTGTGATGATGTGCAAAGCGCGGTGGCTGCAGGCACCCCGGCCTCCCCAGGCCGCCCTTCAGCCTTGTGCCCTGCTTCCCTTGCTCGTCCTGCCCCATGGTCCCCCTGCCGTGGCCATGGGTGGCCCTGGTTGGCAGCGGTAGTGGGGTGAAGGCAAGGAGCCTGCCCTGGTGTTTTCTGCCTATAGCAGGAGGGCAGATCGGAGCTAGGCGAGGTGGGAGCAGCCGTCACATGCTGCTGCAGCCCCCTGAGGGGAGGGGAGGTGGGACCACCACCACAGATCTCATGGCCACGCTGCTTTGTTCAACGGGAGTGCGTCCGTGCAAGCTCATGTCACAGGCATGTGAGCTAAAAATCTCTGATGGGTGCTGAGTCACTCAGCACTAAATCAGCACTTCATATTCTGGCACAACTAGATCCCCTCACGGCATTAAGAGCCAGGACAAGCTCCAGCACGGAAGTATTTGGTGCAGTCATTTGATCCGCGTCCATCTATCTCGCTGTAACCCCAAGACACATTCCAATTTCGCAGGAGATATGAAGCATGCACCTCAGAGGAGCACAGCGTGGGTTTTGGGGGCGTGCAGGCAGCGTGGACAGGGCATGGTGTGGGAGCAGCGGTGATCCACCTGGTCAAGATCCCAGCGGCTATGGCCCAGCTGCATCACGAGCTCTGCTTTGAGGCTGTGTTTACTTTCTTGTGTGTGCAGGTCTAACAAAAGGAAAAGCAAAGAGACGCCTTCCTAGTGAAAGGTCCGGGGCTAAGGAAAGCCTTGCACTGCTTTCTCCCGGTGTACTAACAGTGTAAAGAAAGAAACTCCTTCAAACTTTTTAAACTCACTTTTTTTTTTTTCTTTTTCTTTTTTCACTTGAAAATACCTCAAGGGGAATTCTGAATACCTCCCTGCTTGGGCTTACTGGTATTTATATTTGAGCTGCAGAGTAGTGGAGCTGTGTGCATAATTGATTACTGTTCCAGGCAGATCTCAAATAAAAAGAATTTGGTTTCCTCATTAAATGGAACCTTCTCTCTCTTCCCCCCCCCCCCCCCACTAGCACTAGGAGCTCTCTATTCGGGAAAGCACCAAATGTTTAATCTGATCGGTTTTTTTCTTTTTTTTTTTTTTTTTTCTTCTTTTCTTTCTTTCTTTCCTTTCCTTTTTTGGTTTTTGTTTTTGTTTTCCAAGAGTTTTGTTTCACTTAGAAATTACTAAAATATAACCAAACCCTTGAAAAATCATTCTAAAATGAAAAACAGCATTTGGATACTGCAGCACTTAAGTGTGGCAATATTTCTAAGTATTTTTTGCTGAAGCTATTTGCAAATACAATGCATTTTTTGTTGGCCTGAAGCAGCATAGAATCAATTATTTACGTGAAGTAATGTGCCCAGCTCCACTTGAGATTGTTCTTTCAGTGCAAATGTATTCAGGTGGCACTCATGACAAACGCTGCCTTGGCATGGGTGGAAGCAAAAAGAGCTTTGTTTGATCAATGTTTCACAGCGTGAAAAAAAAAAAAAAAGCAGCGCTAACTTCCCTCTTCTGTTGCCAAGGCATCTCCTTGGGATGGCCCGGAGAGGCAGCCGGGGGACAGGGGAATTCAGTTTCCATGACTCATTCATTCCTGGGCTGCTCTGTGGAAACAGCCAACAAGTGGTCGATTGGTGGCAATTGTCATGGAGAGTTTGTGATGTGGATACTCAGACCATCAGCATATTGCACAAGAGCCATTCAAGAGCCTTTCCTCTTCAGGTAAGCAAGACCAGAGCTGTCTCTAAACCTGAAAAACCCCACCTGTGTTTCTTAACAAACCCCCATCTCAACCACCTTTCGGTGTGTTGTTTATTTAACGTTTATGTTTTATGATAGTTTTATCAATAATGAAAGTAAATCAACCAAACCACTAATGAAATAATACAGCAGGGCCAGATAAGTGTCAGGGATGTCAGGCAGAGAAAAAACAAGCTTGCTTCAGAGGAGGAATATTTTAGAGACTACTGTGGGAGAAGACATTTTAAAATTATTCAGTGTTCAAATCAAGTCTTGCTCTAAGCTTCTGCCTGTGGCACATTGCGTTCTCAGTGCTCCTCAAAGTGCATAAAAACCACAAAGTATGTTCAACAAAATAGAGAGTAACAGTATGCTTCAAAGAAACACTTTAAGCTCCCTACACTTGTTCTGGGAGGCTTCCCGCAGTCCCGTGACACAGCTGGGTTTATCTAATGCTCTGTCTGAAGGGGCTTTATTTCCACCAGATCCCTTTTCCAGCCCTCCCCTTGAGCCAGGCCTTCACTGAGTCAATTTTTCCCTATTTGCCCACTATAAAAAAAAAAAAAAATCTCTTTTTCTTTTTCTTTTGTTGGGTGGCTTTCAATCCCCTTCCTCCTTTGGCAGCAGTAAAGCTTTATAGGAGTATAAAGGGCCAGCCTTACTATGGCAAGTGTTCAGAGCATCTCTTCCTTGAAGTTCCAGCTTTGCTTTTTGCAGGGCTAGGAGACACCTTTGATACGTGTCAGCTCTCCCCCACTCTGTTGTACTTGCATTCAAGGGTGTGAAAAAAGCAGTCATGCACCAGGTGGTTCCCATGCACATATTCTCAGTGTGCCACACTCTGCAACAACAACAAAACCTTTACGCATTGCTGAGGTAGCTCTCACTTGTAACCTGACGGGTTAGTCATACCGCCACTGGAGATGCACAGCCGTGATGGGAGGGTAGGGAGCCAGCAATTTACGAGCACAGTGAGAGCACAGTGAGGGTGCAGATACACGGTGAGGATGCAGATACTGCCCTGCAAGGTGGAGGCATCTTCTCTGAGCCAGCTCCCACCGGGCTCATAGGTGGTGCCTGCATGCAGCCCTTCAGAGCGGCACTAATCCTGCCTCCTGTCCTGAGCAGCTGGGGCAGTGTGGGAGACACCAAAAAGGCATCCACAGAGGCATCAGTTTGAACCAGGCTTTTCTGCTGTTCTCTCAGTGGATTCGCTTTGTTCGGGCAGATTGACCAAAAAGTACAGCGCAGGACCAGTGGCCACGGTCCCCATGCCACCTCACTTTTCCACACAGCAAGAAGTGGCACCAGCAGAGAGCTTGGTCACGCTGGTAGCTCCTGAATCCTGCCACCCTTCCTAGTTCCCCAGATCCCAGTGACAAATTTGGACATCTCAAAATGCTCCAGAGCACAGTGTGGGCAGGGGGAGGCGTGCTCCACTGCCCTGGGTCACAGCATGGCCTGGCCCACTTGTGCCCTGCATCGCCCCAGGAGGTTGTGCTGGGCCTCAATGGGGGCTGTAAAGGGACACTTAGCATCCTTGTGCTGGATGGCCCTCCTCTTGTTGCTATGCATGCATTCAGTGTTTAAATCCGGCTTCATTTCCCTCTGAAAGCTCGTCTAGCAATCTGAAAAAAAAAAAAAGGAAAAAAAGAAAAGCATTTGTTTTCAGAACAAATTTGTGGCATTGCAAACTCCAAGCAGGAGCAGGCTCACTTGTGCTAGTTGCTGTGTGAAGGCAGTTCACAGACGAATATGGCCCCATATGATCTTCTTTTGTCTGAGACATAAAGCTGCAGCTCCGAAAGGCTGGTAATCTTTTTCCATGGTGCTATCCAGGTCTGAAATAAGTGGGGTGTGGTAAATCTGTGCTGACGTAAATGAGAGAAGGTGTTTTGAAGAACCCAGGACAGGGAGAGCAAATTAAAACCAGAGCAGTCTGCTGAATATTTCACAAGCGAAGCCTAGTCTATTTTCTGTTTCTTATTTTTGTGATTGCTGAAATTCCCCTCATCTTAAATTAAAGAGATGAGGCCAGGAGGCCAGAGCCAGCGTGGTTTGCCATGGTGAACCAGCAGAAGCCAAATGAGGAGAGACAGTGCAACCATGAACCACCCATGGCAAAGATTAGGGTCTGAGGATGCAGAGATCCGGCTGGATTGACAGCTATCCCCTGTCTGGTGTGGGATGATCCCAAACCTCACAGCCAGACACAGCTACAGCTGGGTCAGTTGGGAATGGGGCTCGGTACCAAATCACCACTTCTCTCCTGTTTCAGGCAGTGACGGTGTTTTGGTTTGGGCTTTTCTCCCACTCTCAAAGTTGTGGAAAGCTGTGGACCGGACTTTTTCTACTTGCCAAGGACAAAAACCTCTTCCTTACTGCATTCATTTGCTAAATAGCATGATTGTCTGTCTGTAAGAAGCATTTTGAAAAAGCTGTTTGGGCTTGATTTTTATATTCCTCTTCCTGCAGCAAAGCGTCTGCAAGTTCAGTACAAGCAGATCAACAGAGTCCAGCACGGCGAGTAGCCTAGCTACAGACTTCAGCTTGAGCTCTGAACTACTGAGGTTTTGAATGATGTCAGTCTGGTCTCTTGAGGGCTGCTGTTGTCATCAGATAGTGAGGTTGATAAGGCACATGTTATGATGAGGCGTACTGTTGGGTTTAACCATAGTATCGTGCACGAGGTGCCATGAAAGCGGTGCATTTCCTGGTACAGTACCTTGATAAGGCTGCCTCTGCTTCATAGGTATTTCCACCACACTGTCCTGTGTGTTCAGCACGCAACAGATTGCTGACAACCCGAAAGACCAAACATCGCAAGGGTTCAAAAATCCATTTCCTCTATCACAAACATGTTTGTTTGGGACTTTGTATTCCTTTTCCTGATCTCAGTTTCACGGTGAGCAGGTGTGTGGAGGGGAGGGGGGCAGGGGAGTGGAGGGGCGGGGGCTTTGGGAGGGGTGGGGGTCTGGGGAGGTGAGGGAGGGGAGGGCTTTCTTTCGCGGGAGGGAGGGTGGATTTGTTGTTAGTTCTAGTTCTAGAGGGCTCTTCTTTCGCTGATAGGATCTTAGATTTCTCTTCTCTTCTCTTCTCTTCTCTTCTCTTCTCTTCTTCCTCTTCCTTCTCTTCTCTCTCTCTTTCTCTTCTTCTCTTTCTCTTCTCTTCTCTTCTCTTCTCTTCTCTTCTCTTCTCTTCTCTTCTTCTTCTCTTCCTCTTTTTTTTTCTTATTTTTTTTTCTTCTCCCTTTCCAGACTTTTCTTTTCCAGGTCTTTCCAGACCTTTTTCAAAACTGGAAAAAGCAGGACCAGAAACAGCTATTCAGAGCTAGACAAAGTACAGCCACTTTCTGGAGCTGGTTTTCTGCCAGTCCCTCATTCCCTGATCTAGTTGGGAAGCACCTGAAATCCAGCAGAGCCCATGGGCTAGAGGTCCTCAGCTGGATTTGGAGCCCCCAGTCCCCACCAGCACTGTTTTTCCCACTGATCTGATGCTCAGAGCCAAGCTGTGGTTTCTTCCCCTCCTCCTGTTCTACTTCACATTGGATATTGTGGTTTGTGCTATTGGCAGACCATATGATAACAGCTCAGGACCAGTTCTGTGAGTCAAGGAGCACTGAAAGGGAGTTTGTATCTTGCCTTTACCTAGATTTTGCTTTTTCATCATCATTGATTTTTTTTCTTATGTACTTCTTATTTTTCACTTAGATGGAACTGGGAAACCAGGCAGGCTGGATTCCTGACCATCCCTCACTTTCGGTCATGGGGAAGAACAGATCAGTCTCAATCCCACCAGAGGGACTACATGCAACAGACAAGCTAAAACTGAAGTGACCCACGCTTCTGTCAGCTCTGGCCTATTCACAATTTATCTCCACATACCAGAAGAAAGGTGGAAAAAGTACATTTTAAAAACCCTGATTATAGAAATTATAATATTAAAGTCTGCTGTCTATCAGTTTTCGATATGCCAATGAATAAAAAGCCCATTTCACTACCCAAATACGTCCTCCAGGACCCAGTAGGGAAGTATAGCACCTGTGTGAAAAGAGCAGCAGTTTATGTGGCAGCAAAATCTTGAGCTGACACAGGCAGTGTGTACAAACTGTACAAGCCCGCAGCCCTGTGAAGAGCGGTGAGAGGCTGGGTAGGACGGCACTCAGAGCAACGCAAGGGCGTTGGGTTTTTCCATCCCCCAGAGGAGATGAACTCAGCGTAGCCTTTGAACTTCTTCAGGCCTTTTAGAAAGTAACTCATTGCGAGCTTTTCAGCACATGGAGGAGAGGAGATGCTGGCTGTGCAAAGAAGGAGGGAGGCAGAGCTGGGGGGGCACCAGGCAGGAGCAGAGCTCCCCATTTGGACATGCTGGAGGAGCTGGGTGGGCTTCCACAGCTGGAACCCACCCCAGACAGGCTGCTGTCTGTCACTTTGCTGAGTTTATTGCTGTGATGACTTGCACATTTTGAAGCCCATCTTGTGTTCCCTGCTGTCTGTCCTGTAGAGAAAGCATCAAATGCACTTTGTATCTGATCTGAACTGAGAACCCCATCTCACGCCCTCTGACGTTGCTCACCCATGCCTTGCTCCCGCCTTTTGTGGTATTCGAGGCTTAATTGCCTGTAGTTTTATCAGCCTAAGTGGTTATAATTGCTAATCATGTTGCATGTGACAACATAGTCATATGCTGAATTAGAAAAAATATTGAAAGAGCAGATAGAGGTGACTTAGTAAACATTCTGTGGGTCATCCATATTTTTACACCAGTTTTGATGAGGCTTCCTACAAGGATTGCCAGAGGACTGTAAGTATCACCAGCCAAGCTCTTGGAGTGCGAAGTATGACAGGCCAAGAGTCTGCACCAGATTTAGACCCAGAGTGATCCAGCATCCCAGAGAGAGGATCACCACCTCCTCTTTCTCAGGACAGAACTTCACTCCACAGTGGTGGCCACTGGTGAGAAACGTTGGACAGCTTAAATTGCAAGGGCTTGGCAGAGCAATTCAGAACTGTGGAGCTCACAGCAAGAGGCCTGAGGACCAACACCAGGACAGCAAGCAAGCCAGCTGCTGCCACAAAAGGGAGATGAACGTTTGTGATGAAAATGGACTGCTTCTTCTTCCCCTACACACTCGCCCTTTGGAAGTGAGCTGATCAGTGAGGTCACAGGGCCAAAATCTACAGCTGATTTTTTTTAGGGCTGGATAATTTTATGGCCACTGTTAAGTGCTGTAATTTATGTAAACTAAGTTAATGATAAGTGGAAACAACTCGACTCATGTTTAAAAGCCTGTGTTCCCTGGGGACAAGGATGAGCACTTCTCTTTCAGGAAGGAAAGCTGAAGGGCAGGAGCAGAGCTTCTTCTGAATGCCTGACAGAGGGGCAGCTGCCCAAGGATCCTGTCTGCCTTGGAGCATGGCACTCCAATCAGAGCTACATATTCCTACATGCATTCCCACACATGCAGCTCAGCAGAGATAAATTCCCAAGAATTTCCAAAAAAAAAATATCAAACAAAACAAAACAAAAACAAACAAACAAAGAAACAAACAAAAACAGAGGAAGAACAGCATCAATGAGAGCAGAATCATGATGAAAATGAAAGTACAAGGGTGGATTTAGGATACCCTGTGCATGGAAGAGACACGGGAAGAGAGCAGTGGAAAGGTTTGGGGAAGCAGATTCCCTGAGACCAGGCTGATGAAGAGTGCAGCAGGGACTTTATCTAGAAGCTGGGCTCTAGTCTTATTAGCCAAAGGGGATGGGGCAAGAAGTTAATGGCTGTAAACCTCACGAGGAGACATTCGGGTTAAATATTAGGTTAAATTAAAGAGAAGTTAGAACAGCCTGAGCGGTGAACCACTCTGACATGGGACCGCTGTGGAAGCATCGGTGCTGGAGACATTCAAGGCTAACACAAGTCAACTGTCTGTGCCGGAGAGGTGGTTTGGGGATAATGAGATCAGTCCTGTCATAGTTAAGAGTGAAGGTCTAGGTGACTCACTAGAAATCCCTGCCTAACCTGGATGATACGCTGATAACCCCACGGGCCGCCTGTCTCCAGCCTCCATCACGGGACCGCTGGCCTCCTCCAGCTGCCTGCCCTCAAGTTCTCCCAGGCTGCTAGCTTTAGAAACAAACTTTCAGATGGTTTAGAAACATTTCCAGTTCTGTTTTCATTCACATATAAAGTGTTTTGCTGGTCAGAAAAGTGCCAGAAGAAGGAAAATATCTTGGTCAGCAGATTCAGTCTATGAATCCAAAGCCGCACCACCTAAATTTAGAGGAAAATAATTTTCTGCAGTTCTCCTAGCTGTTTTGGCTGTGCAGCCTCAAGAGAGGGTGATTTAGATTTGTTTGTAGCTTTTCAGTCCCCTGATAAATGTATAGGTCATGGGGAAAATAGGGTTTATTGTAAGCATAGCACACAAGACCTGAGGCCAAGAGAAAATAAGCAGGCAACCTCTTTGCATATTTTTAGTACTGTCTCTTTTCCAAGCAGAAGTACACCTTTGCACCTTTTACTCTCTCATGTTGGCCTTGGACATAACCTTTCTTTGTTTCTTGTGACTGCAATGGCTTAGTAAGCCAGGACTTTGCTAGTGTCCCAGATCCCTTGCAGCATCTCCGGAGCTGAGAACACGGTATATTCTCTCACTGTAGCTATAATCAGGGCAAACCACGATGGCTCCCACATTAGACTGCTTGAGAAATCTCTTTATAGCAAACACAGCAAGAGCTTCAAGAAATAACTTCATTGGTGTTTGTTCCATATAGTTTAATGTCTCCTTAGGGGCCGTGGCTACTATCCCAAAAAACATTTCTATGGCTTGCGTGGCTACATCCTTTTCCTGTGAATCAACGTTGGCATCTGCTCATCCAGAGCATTCAGGAGAAATATTTGCTGTTGCCTGGAGACTAAGACAGGAGAAAAAGTATCGGGAGCCCTAAATTATTTTTGCAGCTCTTCCTCTGATCCCATGCCACTCCCAGACAATCCCCTTCACTTAGCAGTTGTGTATCTTGCGGGTTCTTCAACCTGGGGAATAGGTACAGTTATACTCACCAAGTGCCCAAAATACTTGAGTCCTCCCAGGCTTTCACGTGAAAGGAATCACGTAGAAGTATAAAATACATCTTCTACATGGGCCAAAGGGACTCTGCCCATCTTTGTCAGCATTGTCATTACTTGCACTTGCTGTCCTCTCCAGGAGGGAGATAAACCCTGGGGAGACAGAAGGGTTGCACTAAAAACTGGCCTTTCACATCGCACCAAAAACCGCTGGAACATGTGGGGGATGAGGGAACTTCCTTCCACCCAGAGGTGCAAGAAAACTCTGGAGCTGGCAGTCACGTGTTGCACACAGCCTCACAACCCACAGGATCCCGCATGGAAAAATTTCACTTCCATGTGTTGACTGAGTTAATGTGGTGGGGTTAGTGGGCGGACATAAAATGAAACTATGAAAAGAGATTAATTTGCAGCTGAAGCCCAGGCAGGGAGAATGCCGGTCCTCTGTTTGCTCAGAAAATGGCAGTTTTCTGAAAGAAACCCAGTTGAAAAGAAGAGGTTAAGGCAGCGGTAGTAAAAAATCAAAACCAGGGGAAAAAAAAAAAAAAAAAAGCAAAAGTTAAGAAAAGCCTCTCTGGAAATTAAGATGTGGAATTCAAAACATTTGCAGGATAATAAACCCAACCGAGCCCATAAAGCTGCACCAGCCAAAAGGAGGTCTGTTCTGCCTACGAGGAAACACGAAACCGCGTCATGCCTGGCAGCAGCCGCCCCATAGTCCCGTTTCCTCCCCGCTTTATTGCAGAATTGTGCTGCTGGGTGCCCTCGGCTATGTTTAACGCAGCGTCTGTTTCCACTCTAACCCCTTCGCTTTGGAGGGGGAGGATATAAATCAGCTGCGGAGCTGCCCACAGGGCTTAGTCACAGCAGGTATTGGTTTAGGGTGTCTTAGAGGAACTTTTTTTTCTTTCTTTCTTTCTTTTTTTTTTCTTTTTTTTTTTTTTTTCTGGAAGTATTCTAGGGAATAAGTGCAAGCTTTGTGAGGAACAGGCATTGCTTCATGGGCCAGAGTCTCCAGACAAAGGACATTTTACATCACCCGCCAGAATCATCTTCTAACGTTTTGGGCTGAGCACAGCCCCAAGCACAGGGCGCTGTTCTGCAGGTTCCCAGAAGATGTTTGCAGAGTCCCTGCCGAGCAAGTCTCATGGTCCTTCCTGGCATTCCTGGTCCCAGGACCATGCTGGAGCCATGTCTGGGCATACGCTGGCCGTGCACCTCTTTCCTTCGCAGCCTCCCAAAGCCTCTTGCTCCAGACTCGAGCACAGGCCGGATTTCCCCAGCGCCGGCCACACAAATTGTAGTAATTAGCAAGTGTAAAGGGCACGCTGTGGTTTTCACATGTATTACTGCATCTTACTGCTCATTCATATCCTTGGGCATGCTCATCAGATAGCATCCAGTCAGCAATGCTATCCAGGCCCTTCCCTAACACTGCTGTTTCTGAGGCCCACTGGAGAGATGCAGTTATCAGTGTTCATGCATCCAACCACCAGCAGCTGAGCCTCCAGCCTCAAGGCAGTACGGCTTCTCTCACCCTTCCAGCCCCGTGTTGTGTGGACCTGATCTCTAGCTCTTCCCCTGCTCCCCATCTCCAACCATGACCCCTTCAATTCCTGTCCCACTGCCACATCTTGGCCTGGCACGGCCTGGTTTTCCCTGTGTGGTTCACAACAGCAGCTCCCCGGCCCCTTTTCAGACCATGCCCTCCTTGTGCAGGAGCCATACGGACTGGAAGTCCAGGCCAGCTTTTAACAGTCTTCCAGGTGTATTTCTACTCTTCTCAGTTTCTCTGCTAGCTCTTGCCTCTCTGCCTCCCCTCTCAATTTCACTATTATGCCAATAGGGCAAATTCTGTCAGGACCAGAAAATTTGAGCATTTCAGGCTTTTTTAAAATAGTATTTTACTGTTACTTGCAACCCTGGCACACCACAAACCTATCTATAAGTGGTTTGAAGTAAGGGTTGGCCTAAACCAGACTGCAATGTTCCCAATTACCTTCAAAAACAACAGCAAAGTAAGCCTATTTTACTTTGCACCCCTCAGCTACAGAGGCATTTGGGAAATAAGAAGGCCTCTGTTTCTGCAGTCCCCAGCTGCAAAACTAAAGATGTTTTTGGTAAAAAAAGACACAACTGGCCCATAGCAAGGGAGTAGATGGTGTAGTCACTGGGACACCTTCAGCTGCGTAGGAATTAGGAAGGAGGGAGGCAGCTACTGGAGTGGGATCTGAGCCACCTGGAGCTCTGCAGATCAAAGTCACTGTGTTCCTCCTGACAGAGGCAGCTGGCAACGGCAGCCGTACGTGCTGACTGCAATTTCCAAAGACAGCCAGACGTGTTGAAGGTGGATAGCTCTAGAGTCACCTGACTCCAAGGCCAAAAAAATAATAGCTAATGCCTGCAGCCTGAAGGCATGGACCCAAGTTTCTCACCAGTAGAACACAGGGAGCATCCATGAAGCACATGAGCCATCCATGAAGCCAGAGCCACTGCAGGATCCCCCTGTCCTGCAGTAAGAGCTGTAAGTACAACCTGAAAAGTATACCAAGGCACCCACTGCCGTGCCACCGCATGTGGGATAAGAGGTATCTCATCCTCATGGGTGCTTCTCTCTGCCCTCAGACACCAGGCACTTCAGGACCAACCATGCCAGCACATGGGCCAGGCCCTTCATCCTGGCCACTCTGAGAGTCCTGTGCAATAAATTAATGAGCCAGAGCATGGCCGAGCCCTCAAGTCAGAGGAATGTGCCCCTCGAAACCATCCTTCCAAGAAAGGCTGTTTACTCTTCTGAGCCTTGGATAGGGTATTACACACACACGGCCAACTGCTAGGGGAAACATGCTAACCTTAGGAGAAATAGCATGGACAACTCATCCACAGCACAGCCGGACTAGCTGCTGCCATATACCCGAGCCACCAGTGAATGACAATGATCAGGCAAATCCCCACGTTGCTGGAGGCTCTCATGTACACACTCTCTCTTATAAACTATTACAGAAAGTAAACTTCTGATACTGCCTGCTCAGCTCTTCTCTGTTCCCCATGTGGCCTAGCTCAAGGTTAGTTTCAAAAAGCAAAACATCAAGTGACAGAGCATTTATCATTGATAAGCTCATAGAAGAAAAACAGTGCTGGCATCCCAGAACCAGTGCCCTAGAAAGACAAGGGAAGTATATGAGTACCATGAGCAAAGACCTACTTTCAGCACAGCTTCCCAGTTGCTTGTCTTACCAATAGCACCCCGAGACTAATACAGCTATTTTCTTCATAAATTATTAACTGGGCAAAGACTATTTGTTTGAAGAGCTGCACAGAAAGTCCAAAGAGGAAGCGAACAGTTTCAAGCCCCACATGCACACCCATGACAGGCGTGGGATCCTCTCCAGATCAGATATGCCTGGCTCGTCAGGGGCTGACGGCTCTGCTCCCAGCAGCTGGGAAGGAGGCAGGCCCGGGCACTTGCTGCAGCTGGGCACGGGTCTTCCAGGCAGGGGCACATCTCTCACGTGAGGCCCTGGCTGCTTTCACTCGCAGGAGGTATATGAAGACCGCTGAGCAGCACCGGGGCTGTGCCCAAGGCTCTTCTCTTGCATGCTGTGCGCTAGTTACATCAGCATCTGCCAAGAAAACTCCCCGTGCAGCTTTTGTACTGCTCATGGGAACCAGCTCCTACCAGCCACGCTCTTCTTCCACCATCTTTCCTCCACCTAACTCGCCTTTATTGCCAGACCACACAAGAAAGAGCGTTGCACAAAGCCAGCAGCAGGGAAGGTATGTCGGTGTAAGCCTTGAGGTATCCTGCAGCTTTTGTTTTGCAGGAACTTTTCCAACTTGAATTAGGAAACGTCTCTCCTTAACGTTGAGGCATGTCAAGACAACTGAGCAAGCCGTGGTTCGGCAGCAATATTCCACCCCTGATTTGGAAGAGAGCTGGAACAGCTTCAGATGAAGAGCACCAAGCTTTCTCCAGAGGAAAGCTCAAAGGTGAAGAAAACAAGAAGGGCACTGTGAGCAGCACTGGCAAAGTAGTGTCCCTAAATAAAAACACAGGTTTCAGGGACTGTTTTCTGGGATGTTTCTGGGATTGGTGACCGATGTTCCAACAGCTATGGGGCCCTGAGTGCCATTGCAGGATCACTCGTACACACACTGAGACTTTGCTGGGGGCCCACATCCTTCCCCCTTGCAAAATGCCAGACAGCCACTCTGCCACAAAGGCCCAACACCACTAACAAGCTGGGCCTGATGTTTGGTAAACTCACAGTTCAGCATCGCCCTAGAACCTCTCACAGGACAGTACAGGCTGTCCTCCAGGGGAAAGGGGCTGCTCCTCACAGCAGGAACAAAAGCCAGTCCAAAGTTTGAGCTACACCAACCAAAAAGAAGTTTGCAGGAACTGACTGAGCAACTCAGGATGGGGGGAGGACTCCCTAAGAGACAGAGAGGGTTAGAGGCCATGGGACAAGCCACACCAGGTGCCCACTGACATTGACCTGCACACCCATGTGCTTGATGGGGCCAACCGGCTCCATCAGTGAGGTGCAAAGGGTGCCTGAGCACGTGGTGGGCATCGCAGGGGTGAAAAGGAGAGAAGTAGCTGCATTTGAGTGGTTCTCTAAAACCAGCGCCTCGATTTTTGCAAGTAAAACCAGCTTCACTTGTCAGTTTCTTGAAAAAACTTGGGGTTTATTGATTTAAACTGCAAACAGTCGTTACAAAAGAGATTCTCTTTTAAATAAACTCACACAAAGAGGAAGAAAAAGCAATGTAGTGAACAGTAACAGGGGAAAAAAATTACATTCATTATTCTCTTTGTGCCAGTCCCGTTCACCTCGGCAAGGAAAACTCCAAACTTGGAATACAGAAAACGCAAAGACAAACTGTATTTGGAATGTCTTCAGATAGGCACTTTGAGCCCAAGGCTTTTCTCCTTGAAGAAACTATACAGAAAGAGGAAGAAAAAGGTCTTCCTCCCACGCTGTCTCGCAACAGAGCTCAGGTATGTACATTCTAAAGCCCACATAGGCAAGACCCAGGGGAGGGGAAGAGAAGAGGAAAGGCAAAGAAGCACATGAACTCAATTTGCAGTCCAACACAAAAAAAAAAAAGGGGGGGAGGAAGGGAATTCTAAAATAAATAATCCAAACACAGTTTTTGCATTTTTTTTAAATTAATTTTTCATTTTTTAAAATAAAATAACCAAAAAAAGTGTAAAGTTACAAAAAAATGTCATTGTAGTATAATATATTAAACTGTGGGGAAAAAAAAAGGAAAAGACACTTCACAATCTTAAGATTAATATGGAAGATCATAATTTAAACATAAAAGAATATATTCTATGGATTCATCATCCCGATAAATATGAACAAAATTAACAAAAAAGCATAGGTTTCGGCAATAAATACGTTTTGATAAGTTAAATAAGCTTTTTTATATTGTTGTGCAGTGACAAGCAAAATTTGCTCTCCAATTTCTGAAGTTATACAAAATTAAAAACCCAGAAAAAAAAATAATAAAAAGCTTGGCGTGAGTGCTCTAAGATAGGTCTAAAGTACTCTAGAGCAAAAACCATTAAAGCTATGTCTACTGGAACTTTGTTTACACAAACTTGTGTGTGTGGAATGACTTCCGTCAGCCCCACCCCCTCTATTTCTTTATTTGTTTTTAAGATGTCACATGAATACACGGGGAAACTTTTAGCACCAAAATCGAGTCTCTCATAGTCCCATCTCTTTTTTTTTTCCATTTTGTTTTTTTTTTTTTTTTCATTTGCTCGTTTTCCTCCCAGTCGAAGTCCCACTCGTGTTACAATCTTTGTCCGTTCTCAGCTTGTCTTCCCGCAGACCTGAGTGGATCCAGGCAAGATGAGTCTGTAAGGGGGGAGAGCGCGCTGGATGTTAACGCCTGCCCACGTGCCTGCAGCCTAGCGGGAGCTGGCCAGTCGGGAAGGGACTGGGAGAGGGCGATGCAGTATGCAGCCAGTGGAGGGAGCTGGATCCGGACATTTCCTGCACATCTGGAAGTGCACAGAGCTGCTGGTGCCCTCTGCAGCTGGAGAGGTAATACAGTCACAGTGAAAGCATTAAAAGGCACTAATTTTTGTAAACGTTATTGCTTTTCATCGTAAATTTGGCACTTAAGGTTTAAGCCAGTGGGTCTACGACAGGCAGGTGGACACGTTAACATCCAGCTCCGACTACGGGGCCGGGGGAGTTCAGCTTAACATCGTAATAGAGGTGGGGGGGAGCAAGAGGAAACCCCAGATTAGTCGTCGGAGATGGAGAGTCTGCTGAAGATGGGAAGACGTCTTGAGGTGTCCAGGATAGGGGAATCTGAGCCGCTGTGGCTGCTGCTGGAGCTGCTCAGATAGCCCTCCTGGTCAGAGAGGGAGTCCTGAGGACTGGGCGGCGAGTCAAACAAGTTGGGGGACTCGGACATGGGCCTGAACAAGAACGTGGTGGGGGAGCTCCCGCTGGGCACCTGCACCCCCATGCTGGGGGCGAAGAGACTGACCAGCTCCTGGCTGGAGAAGGTGAAGGGGTTGCTGGCGCAGTCAGGCAGGGTGGGGGAGCCCAGCAGGTCGTCGGCGCTCAGCATGGGCGGCGGGGTGATGGAAGTGGGGCTGTCCAGCAGCCCGCTGGCAGCAGTGCTGGGGAAGCCTGCGAAGCTGAAGCTGTGCTGAAGGCGGGGTCTGTCAGTGACGGCGGGCTCCCGGCCGCCCGCCACGGCACGGCGCTCCTCGGCGTTGTGGATGAAGTGGCAGCGCGGCCCGTAGGGGCAGAAGCCGATGGTGTGGAAGGTGCGGCAGAGCTCGGTCTTGTACTTGGGGTGGCGGGTGAGGCTGCGCAGCTCGTGGATGCCGTGGGCGAACTGGCACTTGTCGCCGTACTTGCAGGCGCCGTTCTCCTCGAAGGGGCGGCACAGCTCCGTCTTGTAGCGGCTGGAGTTGACCTGGCCCCCGGGCTGCTTCTGCTGCAGCAGGCGCTCGCCGCCCTCGGAGAAGGAGCGGTCCCGAAAGCGGCTTTCCCGGGGGCCCAGCATGGGCGCGGGCTCCCCTTTCAGGCTGCTGAGGAGCTGGTTCTGGTGGAACTTGGAGTTGGGCAGGGTGACAGAGTGCCTCCTAGGGAAACCCCCGCCGGCCGGGGTGCCCACCGCCTTCCTGTCCAGCAGGCACCCGCTGACACCCGAGGGGCTGTAATTCAGCATCTTGTTGCTCTGCGGGCAGAAAGCAAGCACCGGTCACTGCCACCGCCTCAACGCAACTCTCCCCGGACGGGAGGCGACGCCGGGAGCCCTCGGAGGGCTCAGCCTCGGCGGCACAGCACAGCACGGCACAGCACAGCACAGCCCCCTGCACGTCCCGCCCGCCTGCTAAGAGCAAAGCAAACCCCGAGCCGCCCCTACGACCACCGTGGGGGCGGCTGCTGCGGGAGGAGCCCCCCGGGGGGAAGGCGCCGAGGGCTCGGGCTGCTCCCAGCCCTGCTCGCTGCTCCCCGCCCGGGCACGCTGCAGCGGGCGGCGGCAGCAGCTCGGCCCCCGCCCGGCCCCGGCCCTGCCCTGCCCGGCCCCGAAGCGGGGAGCAGGGAGAGGGGCCCGGGCTGAGCCCCGCCCGGCCGGGGAAAGTAAGGAGGAAAACGCAAAAAAAAAAAAAAAAAAAAAAAGGATAAAAAGTAAAGCAAAAAAAAAAAAAAAAAAAGCGCAGAGAGCCCCTGCAGGCGCCAACCCGGAGCGCGGCCAGCCGGCGCGTTTACCTTGCATAAAACTTCGCTCAGGTCGAAGATGGTGGGCGACACCAGGGCTGTGGACATCTTCGGCGAGCGAGGGGGGAAGCGGCAGGGGCGGCGGCAGGCAAGTGGAAGGAGTCGCGGTGTGGGTAAGGCGCAGCCTCCAGCTCGCAGCCTCCAGCGCTGCCTCCCCCCGCTGCTGCTAGCGCTGCCTCCGCTGCCGCCACCAGCCCGCCGCGCCCGCTCGCCGCTTCCAGCGGGCTCGGGCAAAAAGCTCAACTTATAAAGTTTTCCGACTTACCCCGGGAGGAGGAGCCGGCGGCGGGAGGAAGGGGAGGAGGAGGAGGAGGGCAGGGTGATTGACACCGCGTCTGAATCACCCGGGCGGGCAGGCCCAGAAAAAAAAAAAAAAACTTCTCGGGGGAGGGAGCGGGGGGGTGAAGAAGCTGGGGGGGGGAAGGGAGGGGAAAAAAAAAAAAAAAAAGAAAAGGAAAAAAAAAAAAGAGCGCGTCCCTTCCAGAACAGCCCCTGCGGGCAGCGCTCCCCTCCCCGCCCCGGACGCGGCTGTGCGCGGCTGCTGCGCGCGTGTGTGCGCGTGCCCGCGTGTGTGTGTGTGTGTGCGCGTGCAAGTGCAACGCGCGGCCCCGCGCAAAAGCCGCGCAAGTCCCGCGGCGCCCGCCCCTGCAGCAGGGGGCCCCCGGCAGCCCCGGGCTCGCTTCGTGCCGGGCTCTGCGCGGGGAGCGAGCTCGCAGCCGCCTTCCCGAAGTTGCTAAAAGGCGGTTTTAGAAGGGTGCTCGGTGCGCTCTGCCTCTCTTCTCCCCGTATGCTCTCTCCTGCCAGTCCCCTCTTTGAGTTGTAAAACTGAAAAAAAAAAAAAAAGACTGTGTCTCTGAGCAAGTAATCTGTTCCAGATTTCAGTCGGCACAGTGTGATTCATACCGATATTGATATGGCGGGGGGGTGAGGGGGGGGGAGGAGGACGGGGGTAGTTTCGGTGTAAAAAAAGCCAAACGTCTCAAGGCTTCCTGATAGCAGGCTGCCTCAGCGCCACGGCGGCTGCCCTCCGAGGCGGCCGAGGGGCTGGGGGGGCGAGGGGCCCCTTGCCGGGGTCCCCCTGCCGTGGGTCCCTCCCGGCCCCCGCAGGGACCCAGCGGCCAGCGCCTTGAGGACTTGAAGCAACTCATCCGCTTCCTCCGCTGTTTGCTTTAGAGTCTCGGGAGCCGGACTTTGAACTGGCGGCTGAGCTTTTTCCCCTCCTTCGCTCTTCGAGAACGGCCAAAACAACCAAGGAGAGGAACGCCCACGGGCTCTGGCTATGCCAGAGTCCTTTCTTTCTTTCTTTCCTTTCTTTTTTTTTTTTTTTTATTATTTACTTAGGGAGAGCAATCAGGTTCCTCGAATTTCCTTCTCTTTCTAGTTTCTTTTCTTTCGCCTTGGCCAGAAGCGAGGAGTAACCAGGGGAGAGACCAGTCTATTATTTTCTGCAGTTGTTTACTGATTCTGTAGATGGTGCTTGTTCCCAGGGCTCCGAGCCTCTCTATAATTAAACCCATTTTAATTGTTAGGTTAGAAACGTCATTTCGGGGACTTTCCAAGAGTTACCGAGAAAGCCGGCCGAGATAACTATTTCACTACTGAGTTGCTCTGAGCCGTTTTTGTTTTTTTCTTTTTCTCGGCTTCCTCCCTGCTCCCTCTTGTGCTGAAATGTGCATATTCGCTCGCCCCACGCGTGCGTATGTTTTGGAAACTTGGGGTTTGAGGTCGCGCATTTCCACGCATCGAGCAGTGAACGCCGAAGCCGAGAAGGAATTTTTTCCAGTGATTTAGCTTGTCAAAACCTGACTCCGTGGTGGTCTGCTTTGCATTCAGCGCGCACATGCTCAGAGCAGGAATTTAGCTGCTCGCCCCACCTCGTGGCTAAAAGTCAGAGCCCTCCAGGCCAAAGTGGGAATTTGTGTGGGCATGAATTCACACCGACTGGAGGAATGAAAAATCAGAGCCTTGCACCTTCTGCCAGAGCCCTGCAAGAACTTTGATAAATGGAAATGAATAAAGATAGGTAAATGAATAAATGAAAGTAAATTATTAAAGGAGGTTACTGAAAAAGTGAATGAATGCATGCCATGCTCATTAGCCACCCTGTGTGGGGCATGTTCCAGCTGGGACACTACTGCTGGGCCCAGGGAACGGCAATAAATGTCCAGGGCTTCTGAGCCCGACCCAAGTCCCTCTCCAGCACAGGAGCAGCATCTGTAGCATTCTCACTCCCCAGTTCTGGTGCAGGCAGATGCTAAACTTGTCTCAGAATAGACACAGATAAGGGTCCTGGTCCATGCACGCATCCAGCCGAGCAGTTATAAACTGCTTTCCAAAATTGGAGCTGGCATACGCCAGAACGGCCCGAAAATGGGGAACAGACTAGGGGACTGCAAATGAAAACGACAAGCCGGGAGGTTTAAAGAAGTACTTCTTCAAATCGCGCGTGCACGAAGCTGTGGGCTCATTGGCACATGATGCTGTGGAGGTCAAAAGTATAAACGGGGTCAAAAAAGCAATTTGACAAATTTATGGAGGAAAAGTCCCTGGAGGTTTACTAAAGCCAAAGGCAGACCTGAACTGTGTGTCGCTGGACAATGCCCAGTGAAGTACTGCTCTGTCATCCCCCTGCACTTTCCCCTGAGTATTGACTGATTTTGGCGGTAAGAGGAAGGCTAAAACAGACTCTTGATCTGACCCAGTACAGTTATTTTTACATAGTCCTGGCCTGTCCTTGCGCTCTGTACTCCATCAAACCCTAATGGACTCCTCTGGAGCATGGGTTGTGTGAGGAGCCTTGCAGGAGACCCTGAGGAGCTGGCAGGGGCTGACCCGAACCCTTGCTCCCGCACACTGAGCCACTTTACCTCCCAGCAGCTCATGGCGCTGCTGCAGCCAGACACACCTTTTCCTGTCATCTCCTGCTTTTCGTGGGCCTGCGGACATCAGCGGGAGGCCTCACTGGGGCAGCCAACGCTCCCACCGTGCAGGTGGAGCTGCGTACCCTGTGCTGGCTGGAGGTGGGCCTCGCACGCGTGGCTCTCGCGGCACAGTGTGGAGGTGTCCAGGCCGGGCAGGAGAAGCTCCACGCTGGGAAGTAGAGGTCAGCGCTGTCTCGTGCCTGGGCCACTGGGCTCAGCTTCCCATTCTGGCCTCTGCGAGAAGCTGGAGAAGAGTCCCACGGGGTGGCTGTGCTCTTCACTCAGCTGAACTCCCCCTTGGGGTAATAAGAGGGTACGTGGGGCACCACATATAAACTGAACGCAAGCGCCAGCTTTGTCACACGTCCGTCTGGTGATGGTACAGCTCCCGTAGCTACAGGAGAATATCGCTGCCTTGAGATGCCTCTACATGCCTTCACCTGGAGCCACACACCAGTAGGAATTATGGGGGTCTGAGCCGAGCAGGGGTTACTGAAAAACAGCACAAGTACAGAAAAGTCGGAATGGTTGAAAACAAGGCTTGGTTTGGTTTGGTTTGTTCCCACCTTGGCCTCTTTCCAGGGTCTCAAGCTAGGAAAGGGAAGTGCTTCCATCGCACAGAAAGGGAGTTTTGTAGGGGTGAGGGGTTTTCCCTCTGCTGTGAGGGCCAGAGGTATGTGGGTGTATCTTATACCTCAGACGTGTCTTCCTCCAGTGCGGGGCAGCTAGGGGCAGGACAAACCTCCCACCCTTATTTCTGCTGGGGGTGCAAGAGGAGCCGAAGCCTTGTGCAGTGGCTGTTCGTATCTTGTGGGTCAGGTGCTATTTTTGTTGGCCGTGCCTCTGGAGGTGGAGGTGCAGCAGTGCCTTTCTTCTGCTGCCCGCAGGCTGTGTCAGCTCCAGGCACCTTCCAGACGCTGTGGCCCTTAAGGTGGAGTAGGCGGATGTCAGCGTGGCTATTCTGCGCCTGCCCTTTGTCGCCTGCCCCTAACTTTTTAATCCTTCCTTTTATTTTAGCCTTGTGCTCCGCCTGTGGAACATCTCCGGGTTGCCACTGGGAGGTGTGAATGGCCGGAGCTGGAAACCACAGGGTGTAGGGACGCCCTCTGCCAGGGCTGCCGGCACCTGGGGCAGCGTGGCCTCCTCCTGCTGCCAAGCAGAGGGGACACAACCAGCTCCCTGGTGGGACAGCAGACGCGCAGAGATACAGGCAAGTGTGCTAGGGTGGTGGGAAGCAACCCGAGCGAGATTCCTGGCTGCTCGCGTTTGTAAACATCCGTAAAAGAGGGAGTGTGTGCATGTGTGTGTTTTGTGGTGGCGTGAAACCCAAGAAGCTAGCTCCATTATTTTTGCTGGAATTGGTAGCAGCAGCGCCAGGCAAATATTATGAGCCCTTAATCCTCCCGACTTTACACGTGTGAATGACTTAAGGACCGTCCAGGATGAGCTCAATTACAGGACTTCTTTGCTAATTAGTAGTGGGGTTTGGATCTGATTTGGTTGTTCGTCAGGAGGGCTTTCTCTTCCTCAGTGGCTCGGATACTGGGCTACTGTTTGGGTGTGAAGGGAGGAAAAGGCGGGAGGTGGATGTAGTGTGTGGCCTCCTGAGGAAGGGTCACGAGTTTAGCGCTGGTGGCACTGACAAGGTACTGCAGGGGAAAAAGCAGAGGTGTCCTCTCAGCAGACGCAGGGTAAGGAAATTGGCTGAACTTAATGGATCCGAGCTGTAATTTCCAGTGGAAATACTAATGCAGTTAATGCACAGCAAGCCCATGCTGGTGTTTTGCTGCCTGCCACGACCACCTCTGGGCCCCGCGGCTGCAGCCAGGCTGGTGCCAAGCTCCATGGGGCTGGGGCACAGACGGGTGTGGAAGAGGGCAGTTTTGAGGGGTGGGAGAAAAGAGCATGATCCAGGTGGGTGCTGCCTGGTGGTGGCTGGTGAAGGTGCTGGGGTCAGCCCCCGTCCCACTGCCCCCCAAGTCCTGGCCATGGGGCTGGTGGTGCACATAGCGTCCCGCAGCGCGCTGCGGCCCCGCCTTGTCTGCAGGCCCAGCCTGCTGGGGCAGAGACACCAGCACTCTCTCCCAGCACTTTGGCGTTCAGATCAAGGGGAGTGCCGGAAGCTTGAGAGAGGCTGTTGGCAGTGTCCAGGGGAAAAAAAGCAGCCCACACCTGCTGCAAGTCGAACCGGCAATTGCCCTTTGTATCAATAGGGTGGTTAGTGCATGAACCAGAAGCAATCCTGGAAATGGGAAGGTGTAGATCGCAGCAAACAGCACAACTTCAGGATTGTTTTCAAACCCTGCTTCCACGCTTGCAAGCCTGTACGCACCAGCGCAATAATGCAGCAGCACAGCCACTCCTGGTCGCCCATGCCAGTTTCCAGCTGGAGCTGGCTGCTGATTTATTCAGCAGACATCAACTGGTGGAATGTTTCCATGATATTGTCTCCCCTGAAAGAATGTGCTAGGACTAAATGCTTTCACATTATTATTTATTTATTTATTTATTTTAAGGAGAAGGTCAAAACCTCTTCGAGATCTCACCTTTGTCAGCCATGCAGTGCTGGTGTCTAAACGTGCTGCTTGCTGTGCTGGCAGCAGTTCACCTCCAATAGGCCTGGCTATAAACCTCTGAAAAATTCCACTTTGCCCCTTCACGGTGGAACTTGTCACAGCCTTGTTTTCAAACACAGTGGTTGTACTCCACACATTTCACAGCTCAGTGAGATATTTGCATCAGTGAGGCAGCTTACTTCCCTGCCTATCCTATCCCATCCCATCCCATCAAAACATACTTTTAGTACCAGGCAGGAATCAAGGGTTAAGCCTCCTTTTCTTTTTTTCTCATTTTTGCTCCTCCTGACTTCTGTGAACACATTACGATACCGCCTTCGGTTCCACTATTACATCTTTTCCCACAAGACTGTTGCCTCATCCAGACCACAGCGGGGAACGTGCTTTCATCTCTGCCAGCTGGGTACTGCTGGAGCACCCGGCCGTGCCCCCAGGAGCTGCACGAAGACGCAGAAGAGGCCAGGCGCTGCAGATTCGTCCACAGGGCTTTGGTCAGACCCACATCTGGGAGGGCATTTCCAGGGAGCCTCCCATTGTCTCCTTTGTCCCGCCTGGAACAAAGAACCTCCATGAGGCTGGGTTTCCTCTCTCCTGAGTTTAGGTGCCTAAAAGTTAGGTGTCTAAACCTAATTAGTCGGACAGGCTTCTTGCATAGTCAATGGAGACAAATAGGCACCTCTAGTGTGTGATTCACCTCGACTATCTTCAGCATTTATCTTGAGAAGGGCTGACTCACTCTGGAGCTGAGTGCCCACTTCTCTTCTGTGACTGTAAAGGCAGATGGGCAACTTGCTCAGAACTTGACAACTAATTTTGGGACGCCCCAAGTTCAGGAAGGCGGATCCCACCCCGCAGCCTGCCCACAGCAGTGGCTCAGGGAAGCAGGCACCATTGCTGTGCACTGTCTGAGACCCCCCATCAAATTTCCCTCAGAGGCTCCATGTCCATACCAAGCAGGGCTGGGTCTTAGTGTGTCCAAATCACATTATCAGCCCCTATCACGTTATCAGACCAAGTTAAATATTTATAAAGCTGTTGGGGGCAGGGTCCATGTCTTGCTACGTGTTTGTATATTCCCTCACGGACCAAAGCCCCAGCACCGGTTGCAACCTTTGTGGACTGGTGCAATGCGGGATGGGGAATCTCTGTGTAAATCTGCAGGTCTTGACGAAATGCAGCTGGGAGTGCAAAGAGTGCTCATGGACGTTGAGAAATAAGCAGGAGTGAATCATAAGAGTCAGGAGAAGCTACTAATGTGTGGGAAAAAGGCAAATGTGCTACCTCTGCACAAACATATAATAAGGAAGTATGTAATAATAATTATTGTTATTGTAATACGGTCTGGGTGAGCATTTGGGAAAAAGATATCTAATAACTGACAAGCAACGTGGCTCGGTTTGTTTTGATCTGAAATTCAAACAATGGTTATGTTTATAAGGTAATAATACACAGGGCACAGAGCACTGGCACTGCACCAACTATGCACTCCACAGGTCGGGTTTATATAGGTCATGCCAAACAAATAATAGTGTTCTTCAATATAATTACTGATTCATTAAGAGAATGAGAGAGAATGTAATCGAGTCTGTTTGGATTTCAGGGAGGTGTTAGATATGGTAAATTTATACATTTGAACTTGGATTTTGGAGGTATCATGTGCTTGCCCAGCTCTGCTCCTCCGGAAGCCAGCGGTGAAATTCCCGTTGCGGTCTCCTGCAGATGGTGCAAGAAACCTCCTGCGCAGCCTCTGGTGCTCCCACAGTGCTTTTGGGAGCCTCTCAGAGCCCTTTGTAGCATTTCGCAGGTAGGTTGGGAAGCCAAACTACCTCTAGACCCCGATCCATATGTGCAGTGCCTGGCTTTTAGCTCAGGCAATTGCACTGACCCAATCAACCCACCTCCATCCTGGGGACACCCTGACCCTTCCACTTCTGAGACCTGTGCTCCCCCCATAGCCACCCATTCTGGTGATGGGGTTTTGCTCCGCCTGGCCCTACGAACTACATGAGTTTTTTCCCAAAGACACAATGCATGTTGGCACAGCCATGGGTCCAGCATCCCTCATCTCCATCACCAGCCCCGCTGCTGCTCCCCACTGTGGGAAGGGAAGAGCCCTGGCGCCCGCACTCCTGCCCCCCACCAGGGAGCAGCTGCATTTTTTAGAAAGGCTGGACTGAGCATAACAGGGCTTCTGGGCAAACAGAGACCACAGAGGAAGGAGCAGTGCATGGACAAGAGGTTGTGTAAAGCGTCTGGCTCCAAGCTGGCGTGTGCTGGGATGGGAGGCAGCAGTGGGGGCTGCAGCAGGAGTGAAGGCAAGTCCCAGAAACTGCCCCACATCTGAACTCTGCCCTGTGGGGGAGCAAAACAGGAACGGGAAAAACAGAACTGCTGAGCAAAAGCAGCATCCAAAGTAAGTGGGAAGGATACGGTGATAATAAATGAACTCATTTTTTGTGAGTCTAAATCATGCCCCTCTAGTCAGTTGACTTCTTTGGGTTTCTGAAAAAGCTGGTCAGAAAGAAGTAGGGACCATTGTAAACACAGGCTTTCAAAGGGGTTTTTGATAAAGGCTCTTCCAAGAGTGAAATACACTTGGCAGCCATGGGTTGAAATGTCCTGTCATGGATTAAAAGTGGGTCAGAGCTGATGGGAGGGGGGGAATCCACGAGAAGTAAGTGGCCAGCAGGGTAAGAAAAGCTTGCTGGGGAGGGGGTGGTGGGGCCACGTGTGGTGGGGATGAAGGCAGCCCTCCTAGTACTGTTTCAAAACACAAATGACTAACAAGGCAACAACATTAGCTACCAGTGGAGCATTATTTATTGTAAATTCAGGCATAGTTAGACAGAGCTGGGAGACACTCCAGAAGCTTCTAACTAAACTAGGAAACCAAACCACAATGACGGAGAAAGTTCAGCTTACACAGAAGCCAAAACAAGCCATTTCAGATGAAATTGGGCAAGCCTCTTGTTCTGAATTAGAAGTTAGCTCGTAGGGGTCAGCAGTGGCATGGGCCAAGACTGTTCAGGAGTTGCTCAGAAACGATCTGGGGCCTGGATCAGCATGATGAATTGTCATCTCATAGCCTGGTCGCACATCGCAGTCCCTGTCTGCCTGGCTGCTTTGAACAGCCACAGCAGCAGGACCTAAAGCAGCTCCCTAAGAACAGCCCCGCTGAGGCAGATCAAAAGCCCACCAAAGGCAGCATGAACGAACAGCAACAGGATCAAAGGCAGAGCTGGGTAGGGGGCTCTTTCTCATGAAGGGGGTAGATATGATTTCACTTGCAACAGCAAAACAGAGGGCTACAGAGCAATGATTTGCTTTGGTAATAACCGGCTGATGCTTGCATTTTATTTGTGTCATACAAGGGGAAAAGAAAGGTGTAAAGGTGCTTTTAAAAATAGTTGCAAGGGAACTGAGTGCTTTGCCAACAGCCTGCCTCGCAGTACCCTTCCAGACGGGATGCGATCTGCCGATAAGCCCGTACCTGGCCTGAACCTGGCCCGGCGTGCCAACCCACCCATAGCAGCATACCTGCTCCGGCTGGATTGCCGAGCCCCACTTTTGCAGAGGCTGGATGCAGCTGCCTTGTGGGCAACGTCCAGCCCGGGGCAGCGGCTGGCGAGGCCCAGCCCGCACACCCAAAGCCTGCTCAGCGGTGGGGTCTGGCTGCCCCAGAGCGGGAACGGCTCTGCTGGGGACAAGCACGGTTCCTGGCAGGGTGTGGTAACACCAAGCCCAACGCAGTAAGAAACAGAAGGGGGGTGTGTTTGTAAATAATTCACTAGAATGACCTACATGCTACCAGGCCTTTGTTTGTTTTTGTGAAGTCAGTAGAAAGCTGCACAGCCTCCAAGACCGAAGCTTGGGGACCAAATGCTGAGAGGTGACACAGAGCAAAGGCATCCAAGCCCTCCGTGCGGGAAGACAGCCTGGGGTGGCTTCAGAGTTTCCGAGCTTTCTTGCATACAGAAAGCTTTGTGGAGAAACTGGAGAGGAAGAAACGCCCCGCAGCTACATGTGGCAGCCTCAGAGACGTGGGAGCTTTGCCACACACTCCATGGAGGGGCTGGGAGGGGAGATAGCTTGCCGGTGGTGCCTGTCGTGTTTCAAGCAGGCTGTCTCTCTGCCCCCAATCCCATGTGCCCATGGAGAGGCAGACCTTTGGTGGAGGAATGAAAGCAAGGCCTCGTCATCAAAAACTGATCATACTCTTCACAAGAGCTAAGACGTTGGGCCTGGTGTCTGGGCTGCCTCTGAGCACTGCATGCTGTGATGCCCATCTCCGTGGCACAGTGCCCTGGATGTTGCTGGTGGCAGGGTGCTTCCTCTGTGCTCACCCTTTGCTTTCTGTAAGGGGATAAGGTGTGTTGCACAAACACGGAGCATCGATTACTGGCTACAGCTCCTACTTGCTGCTACTTTTTTGTTCTTTAAGACTCTGCTCCGTAGATCATGTGATTGTAGGGGAATCAGTTTTCAGTTAAAAGCACGCTTTTCCTGCTGGCTATTGCAGAGAAAAACATGAAAGCTCTGTAGAGTTGAGCCCAAAGGCTGAAGAGTCAAAAGACAAACAGATACTGAGTCCAACGTTACTGGTTTTCAAATTTTTTAAATGATATTGTTTAGGATACTGACAATATTTCAGAACCCAACTCTTAAATGTCTGGGATTAGCTGTTCTGCAAAGAAGAGGATGTTGGCCGCCTAGTACCACTTGGGAAATGTCAAAATCCCAGCCCACAGCTCTGCAGAGCTTAATCTAGAGCTTAATCAGAGGTCTGTTACCACCCTCAGGGGGCTCCAAGAGAAAAGCAGGTCAGGTTTTCTCTTTCATCTCTGCTGCATGTGCCAGTCCAGATGGATAATACTTCCAGCAGTGATTCCCAGCAGCAGGAGGCTGGGGCTCTGCGATGGCTACCTGACCTCCCCTGTGAAATGGAAGTACTGCCAACAGTACTGGCATTTCTTAGCAGACAAGCATCCACACGGTATAATTTCCACAGTAACTGGTGTCTTCGTGTCTGCCATGACCATTCTCCCTGCCAGCCCAGCAGACAGGACTTAAGTTACCTGGAAACAAAATTTCTCAATGAAAGTGTCCTCCCAACTTGCACCGCTCTGCAATAACAGCACATCCACTACCTTCTGTGTTTCTTGCTGTAGTTTGCCTGTGGATGGTCAATTGCGATCTTCAGGCCTACAGAGATGATTCATGTTTCCCATTGTTAGGCATATTAAAAGATAATAATAATAAACTCCCAAATTCACTGCCCTCCAGTGTGTGCACCTCTAGCCTTTATAGCTGAGACGCTGTACCCACCAGTGCTCCAAAATAACCAGCATCACCTGCGAACGTGGGCTCTGATCCTTATCTGCTGGCCAGTTTCTGAAGTTTGCAGTTAGTTGACCCACCAGTACAGTGACAGGATGCTGGGTGGAGTTGTGTGGTTCTTCCCAAATTCAGATGCGTTCAGGATGCATGGCTCAAAGATGACCAGTCTGTCACCTTTAGTATCACTGATGGATCAAAAACCCACAGATTCATGCTGCGGTGGATATGACTGTGTCTGTTGCTAATGCAGCTGCTCCAAAATGCAAACCAGAAATTTTAAGTGCTGTTGAACTAGTGAAAACCCTTTGAGGAGCAGGTGTGGGGGTGGTGGATGGCAAAACCTTGTCTGGTGAAACTGTTCAAAAGAGCAAGTCTGTTAATGAACGGGGGGTTCCACATTCACCTCCAACGCCACATGCAGAACAACAAGAAGCAACAGCAAGAGCCAGCAGTGCACCAAAAGCAGAGTCCAGAATAAACCAGGCCAATAAAAAGAGCTGTGCATGTGAACAAATATGCCAGTTTAAGCCACGTTTCCTGAAGCAGTTGAACCCCCAGCCACAAAGCTCATCCCAGGAAGAAGAGCTGTTGCAGTGACAGTGCAGTGGGATAAGTCTGCCTCACAGCTGCCCTGCATACAGCTTGCCAAGCGCGTTGGTGCAGTGCTTGATTATCCATCTCTCTTCAGTACAGGAGAAAGCACTAGCCTATGAAGAGCATGTGTGCGCATGAACAAGCGCCATTGGACACGTGAGCAGGATGCCGAGGGGTTACCACAGCCACCCGTGCGCATGGCCGCGGCTGAGCACCCTGGCCTACGCGAGGGACGGCGCCGTGCTGGCAGCCGCGTGCCCGTGTGCAGGCAGGGAGGGTGTGGGACCGTGCTGACGGCAGCGTGGCTCTGGCAGGGAGGACTTTTCCTGGCTGCTGATGAAGTGCAGCTGGGCTCAGCAAAGAGTTAAATTGGTAGAGAAGTGTCTAGAAGGGCTCCTGCCAGCTATAAACAGAGCGATCAGCGTACACAGGATGTGGCGAGCAGCTAAAGGCGTCCCGTTATTAACTTCACTTTTATTTCAAGGGGATTCACTTCTCTGTTCTGTTTCCCATTTGGGAAGTGAAACCTAAGACCATGGTACCACTTTAAAAAAAAATGGTCACAGCTCGTTTGTTTTTCTACTTTATTCTTTTTTCTTTTAAAGGTTACTCTGCTGTTCCTTTGACGGAATTTATTGAAATCACTGGTAACACACTGAGTCTTCACTGAGAGTAACTTCACTTCTGTTTCTCTCCTGAGGCATTATCTCATTTGCTCTCATTCAAGCCTGTTGACTCTGAGGGGAGTGTTTACTTGAGGACACCTCGCTGCATGGTGCAACCCAGCCTGGAAGGAACAATGTGGAGAGCGTTAGCGCCGGTTCCTCTGAACAGCAGCGTCAGAGGCACACTGCTCACAAGGTGCTTTGTAAACATTTATTCATTCTTGCACACGCTCCCTTCCCTCCCCCCATAAGGTGAGGAAATGTTATTGTCACCATTTCACAGATGGAAGAAGTGAGTTCAGATAGGTGCAGTGACTCACCGGCCGCAGCTGAGGCAGATCAGGAGCTGAGGAGTCGAGCATAACCCAGGAGGTCACGTTCCCACCCAGGGCTGGCAATGTAGGCAGAGCCAGCTCCATCTACCTGCCACCCACTTGTCCTGAGAAGCAGTAATGCTCATCTCAACGTTTGCAGAATGAGATCAGATCGCTGTGGCTTGCTCCATGGGCTGGTGTCATCAGTGTGATATATTATTATGATATCATGATGTTATTACGCCTGAAACTAACGCAAGGCCACTCGCAGAACACGGGTAGGCAGCTGAACACCGGTGACCGTGCGCTCCGCAACCACATCACACGCACACACACGCCCTGTACCGAGGTGTTGGTCAACCCCACCACGCCGCAAGGATCTGCAAATGATCTGCGTGCTGGGAAGGGTTGTCCCCATGCCTGTCCCCCCTTCGCTGCTGTCCTGGGTTACCTTGGCCCCACACAGCCCTGGTGTGAATGACTGAGAGAGGAAACGTGGCTCTGTGAGGCAATGGAAGGAAAGTGCTTCTCAGGTGGAAACGGCTCTCACAGCACATGGCCAGCAGATAAGGATCAGAGCTCATGTTCACAGGTGATGCCGGTTATTTTGGAGCACTGGGTGCTTGTTGGAAAATCAAGCTTTCCTCAATGCAAGCACTTAGGTGACAGGCACTTGGTGCCCAATGGTGGCTGAAAATTCAGGGCCGTACATTACCACAATTTGGTGGCAACTATTGCTGTTTACAATCCTCACCAATATCGTTTTCCTCTCCCACACGGCATCAAGAACAACAACAACAACGAAAACCCCCGCTCCTTATCACCTCCGCTTGCTTTCCACACTGTCTGCACGGTGCATGGTTTCACTCATCCTCAGCTCGGCGCGGGCGAGTCAGATCAGTCAGTTCCACTTTCTGACGCAGGTCTGTCTGTCTGTCTGCTCCTCAGGCCCGGACAGGATGTGCCTGTGATCAGGTTCATAATACCGGAGGGAAGGTTGGAGTTCACTGTAGAAATCTGTGCATTTTTAGGTAAAATGCTTGATAGTCTCTTCTTTTAAACAGAACCTTTGTGGCAGGTCATCCTAATTAAGCTGCAGTTTAGCTGCCTTCTGCCTTGCCACGTGCAAAACTGGCTTCCGTTGCCACAATGAAGCCTGCAGAAAGATTCTCTTTGATGTCTGGGGGCTTTGGGCTGGTCTGGGGGCCTGGTCCTGCACGTGTTGAGAGGAATGGCCAAACCCCCGTAGACTTTAAGGTATGAGAGACCAAGCTTCTCAGAGGACTCGGGAACATGAAGGGCGTGCACCAGAGTGCCTAGGCCTCTCCAGGCCCTCCCTGCATCTCTTCCTACCGTGGAGTGTGGTTGTGGGGAGCAGTGGGACCTTACAGGCATAGGGAAATTGAGAGGTGTCTAAAGCATCGAGAGCAAGATGGCTCTTGCTCCTCCTCTGGCCCTCCTTTAGGGAGCAAGCACCACATAAGCTCTGCCAGAAACCTGTCTGTAGAGTCACAGCGGGCTCAGGTTTCCCGTCCTTGCCGAGGGTCAGGCTGCAGTTTCAGGCGGTGGGGAAGGCAGGCCAGCAGCGTGAGGGGTGGCGGGAGAGCGTGGGCTGGCGTGTGGAAGCGCCTGGAGTCAGCACCTTTCGTCCTCTGTTGTGGAACTGGCAGGGAGTTAATCTCATAGTTAAACTATTACTGGGCTTCACCGCTCTTATCCCTCCACAGTGCAAGGGGCAAGGGGCTTAGTAGGTCAACTGGCACTGGTACCTGACAGCAATTAAAGGGGCCCGGCCAAGGCCCAGAATTTGACCTACGCCTTTTTGGTTAGATCTTTTTCCACACTCCATGTCAATCCTCACAGGACTTTTTTTTTTTTTGTGCTTCATCGTGTTTTGTGCTAAATGAACAACGTATAAATCCTGCAAAGCAGGAAGCCCAGCCCAAAGCCAGGGATGCTCAGGGCAGCCTTCATGAGCTCCTTAGAATAATGCAAGAACACACAGCATGCTTGTGAGGACAGCCTTAATATAACTGATGGGTACATGGCAGTCAGGTCCTTGCAATGTTGCAAAACACAGTGCCTGAATTTCAGGAGTTCCAGATGGGGAAGACAGCTGTGCCAGCTGTGAGACTGTGAGAGACAAATAAAACAACTAGCTGAGAAGGAGTTACAAATTCAGGACAAACGCCCAGGCAGCACCCCGCCTTCTTCTCGTAAGATGCATATAGCCAACACCCCGCTGCAATGGTAATCAGGGCCCTGGATAACATGGGGTTTGTTTGCTGCTAATATTGCCATTGTACCTACCCTAGCCGCAGATCTCTGCTCCAGACCTAAGCCACCAAGACTGCAAGTTAGAGCTCTGCTGGCCGAAAGCTTTCTGAATGGGAACAGAGAGCGATCCTCCCTATCTCTACAAGTTCTAGCTCAGCAATGTGTGCTACGCCCATTCATCTGAATGCAGAATTAGCTCTGAAACTAATGATAAGGCTTTAAACACCATCACACAGCTAATTTATTTTCCCACTGTCCCAAAGTGCTTCCCAGGTGCTGAAAAGCTTGGCTGCCAAAATCTCCATAGCCTCTGCTGACAACCTCCGCAGTGCAGCTCTGCATTGCAACACCTTTCCCATCACCGCAGGCCCAAGCGCTGCGAGCAGCAGCGTAGCTAGCTGTGGTGAGGGCGGTCACTCTCCTCCATGCATGTTGCTGAGGCAACGTGCCCTCTCCCCCCACTCAGATGGGAAGCGTGTGCACCAGCACCAGCTGATGCCTCCCATTTTCCACGCGTCTGTTCCCTCCTCAGAGTTAATTTAGCAATTTTCTTTGCCTTGATGTCAGTGGCATTACATAAGTCTAAACTAGGTGTGAGATCACGATACAACACATCGATTATCCAAGGAGGCACAAGGTCATAACCACCCTTTGGACAGAGGGAGGACGTGTGTATACACACACATAAACACACCTAGGTGGATATATATAAACACACACGTGTGCACACAGCGTTTCCATTTGGAGATGTGCCATGCGTGGCACATGTCTGTTGGGGCAGAAAAACATCGCTGCCTGTGTTTCTGCATCAGAATCTTTTGTTTTTCTCTCTTGGGCTTTGGAGTTACTTCTGTTTTACAAAAATAGCACCACTCAGGGCAGTCTTCCTGATAGGTGGAATAATTTCCCCTTGAGAAGGAACTGGTGGAAATCCCCTCTCTTGAGACATTTTAACTCTGCCAAAAATGTAGAATGGGAGTGACTGCTTTAACTAGCGAGCTGACTTGGATGAGCTAATGGGTTTTTCCATCACTAGTGTCTAGTTCCAGGGATTTCCATGAATTGCTGTCAGGACAGAAGAAGGCAACAGATTGCAACTGTGGGATCTGCTGTTTCAGCTCCACTGACACGTCATTCCCTCAGGACACCCAGTGACCTGGTTAATCTAGTTCTTTGCTTCTGACTTCTCCTCGTAAATGATTTATCAACTGGCGTGGATCCCTGTTTGCTTAAGGAGGCGTGTGACGACCTCTAGCAGACTGCCTGCTCAAAGCCACGGGCTGCGTTTGGCACCCGGCTGCTGGTCCCAGCTCGTGACCCTTGGGCTGCAGCGGAGCCCGGTGGCGCGGGCAGCTGCGGGGGACTGTGGGTAATGTTTACACGGTGTCTGGAGAGCGCCGTGACTAAGCTGCCGGCTCGGCAGCCAGAGCGCCTGCCCAGGACCTGCCTCGGCCTGCTCTGACCCCCGTGGTACCAAGGTGCTGGTGGGCAGAGGGCTGGCTCACTGCTGCGTACGGGCTGCTGCCCGTGGGAGCATCAGCGGTACCAGAGCCAGCCTTGAGGGCCGTGCACTCCATGGAAAAAGTAACGTCACCGTCCTCCGCCTTGTCCAATCCCACAGAGAGATCTGCATCGGCAGCGGTGACATCAGTGTCGTGTCTGAAGCAGATGCGGCTCTGGAGGTCTTGGTCATGCACACATGTAGGTCACTATGCGTGTCACCATGTGTTAAACGCTGCCGTAAGAAAAAGATGGTACAGATCTAAACTCACTCACTCAGAAGTCAGGGAGTGAGGGTGAAGGTAGTTCCTGCAAGATTTACATTTGTACCTGGGCTAAAGGAACGTGGAAAGAGATCGGCTATCAAAAATTGGGCACCCTTCTGAAAAACTGTCTATGGGCAACTCCCTGCCTTCCCTCCAGGCCAGTTATTGCTGCTTCCTGCTCTGATTGTTTCAAATCCGGTTATCTTGAGTTGTGCCTGTCCTGGCAAATACGGTACAGCAGAGGGGAGGTTCTGTTCCAGTCGATGCTGTATGCATGCCACAGATCACAGAGATTAGCATGGGAGGAATCGCTGAGATGAGCTGCTTGAGGCAGATAGTGGGAAGCTTACAACAGAGCTGTGTAACAGAGTCATAAAACTGTTGAACGAAATCCTAATTTTGGAGGACACAGGGCCACGCTGGATTTGCAGCTGGCAGGAGGCTGCTTCACAGGGGCAGCACCCAGCAGTAAGCGAGCAGAGGAAGCCCGTTGTGGGCAGCCGGGCTCCCCAGCAGCGCGGTGTCACACCACCTAAGGGCCACACATCATCAGGGAGGGCTGGTTCAGGCTGTGGCAAGGAACCTGCAGCCACATGTAGAAAGAAGCAGGGGTGTGTTTTCTTCTCGCGTAAGGGTGGATCTGGAGCAGCTTTCAGCTTCCCGAGACCTCAGGGGTGGTCGTTCTTCATGGCCCAAGAGGGTGGAAGGTGCAGCTCCCGTTCCCTTTTTGGGGGCACACCACTTGGATGTGCCTCAGCAGAAATCTCTGTTCACACGCCACGTGCTCCCACTCTGCTCCTTGTACTGTGGACCAGCGTCACCGAAGGACAGAGAGATGGTGGGATGTGTGAGGGCTAACCCCACCTCACCAGGAGCAGCCACGGCTTAAAAAAACAAACCCATGTCCCCACAGACAAATTCAGTCTAGGCTGGGCCCACACGCCCTATGAGATCCTAGTCATAGTCACAGAGCAGAGAGGCAGGGCAGGGAAAGAAAGGATGGTCAGTGAGTTATCCCCCAATCATATTTCCAACCTTTTAATATGTGTGGAATTATTTTAGACATAAACTTCAGTCTGAATTCCCAAGTGCTGATAGATTTGTATATGGATAACACTGGGTTCAGGCTTAATTTCAAGCCCAAACTCACTGACCGTTCACACCACGTCTTCCATTCAGTCTTGCTCGTCAAAGAGCAGAGAGAAGCCTGCTCTGTATGGAAGCTATGTCCTTACAAGCAGCACAAGTGCTCCTGGCTCAAACATCTTGGCTTTGTGAATTCAAAACACGTTTACTGAGGACAGCATGGATATAGAGTGATGCAAGTGCAAAACTCCCCAAAAGCATTCCTGTGTCCCTAGGGCACTGAAACAAGAGCCGGGTTTTCTCATTGACCTCTTTTGTGTCAGGTGCACAGATTTAGCAACAACACGTTAAAAAGAGCACCCAGAAAATCTTTGGCAGCGGTAGGACTGGAACCTGCTTCCTCTCATAGCATCTCCCAGGCCGGGGGAGAGCTTGCTTCCAAGCGCGTGGCTTTGTTCTGGTCCTGGTAACACAAGACAGTTTTCTGGTCTGTTCTTTGTATATCCCAAAGGGTTTTTAATTTGCATTTTTGACCACAACCAAACTTAGATATTTTCATTGAACTGTTCACACAGAAACCATTTTATTGAGCTGCTTTGGTTTTGGTGTGCTAAAAACACCAGCTGGTGGAGCAGTTTAGTGCATGACAGAGAGACGTCACTTACCTCAAAGTTGTGTCTTACTGTAGGGGATCCTACCATGATGCTCTGGACAAGCATCAACTACCTGTCATGTAGCCCTGACATCCTAAGGTACCACCACTCTTCTGGGAAGACAGTCTCAGAGTCAGAGGCAGCTGACCACAGTTTCTTGTCCAGAACCACTGCTGATGAGACTCACATTAAATCTACTGGCAAATCTAACAAGATTGAATGCAGAAGGACACAGCCCCGAATAAATAGAAGTTAAGGGAATAACCTGTTTTTCTTGGACTTGGTCCAGTATTCACTAAAGGGATTCTGTGAGTATCAGTAGGATTGAAATCAGACCATAAATTTCTTATTAATTCTCTTCTGCTTTATTAAAAAAAAAAAAAAAAAAAAAAGTGCAAACCCTTAAAAAAATAAATAAATAAATAAATCTATTTTAAGAGTTGCTTCCCCTTTTTCTTACGTATTTATTCTCCTTTCTGCTCCATCCCGTCACTAGGAAGGGTACAGTGCACCTCTGACAGCACCATGATCTGAGAGTTGCCCATAATCTGAGCAGTATGTTCCTGAACAGGAGACTGAATCCTGCTCCGAGCTGCTGCAGCAGAGCACAGGAGTGCTGGGGGAACGTCCAGCTTGCAGCTTGCCATTTACCAAGGGCCCTGTCAAGGCAGAACTGCATCCTGCAAAGACATCCTTCTTATCTTATTATTGCCTCCCCAAACTATCAATTAAAAAAAAATGTCACGTTTCTGTACCTGTGGATGTCATTTGCCTTCTGCATGCACTTTTTTTATGCAGGGCTGTGACACACACTTCATACAAGTCATCTAGGGAGGGGTACTGTAGGCACTGAGGCACTTAAAAATGCCAGCAAAGTGCCTAATTGGATTTCAAAAGGGCATTGGCCCTGACTGCTGATTTCAGTGCAGCTTAGACTTGTAAGCCCCTGTCTCTGTCTCTAGGTGCCAAACACCTTTGAAATCTGGCTCCCTCAGTTCCCTTTTTGGCTATGGCAATTAGCTCTCAGGGAATTATGATGATGGAAGAACACCCTGACTATGAGTTCTCGGGAAATATAGAAATGGGGATAACTAAGTAACATTTAAATCAATTAGACAGTTCATTAACACTTCTGCTAACAGCCAACTTAGATTCCTGTGCATGTGCATTCTTTCCCACTGTTAGCATCTCCACTCACACACGGATTATTTACGACCCTTCTCCAACAAAAGCCTGGTTATTCTTATTTAAAATAGACCATAAAGATACATTTATTAACATTAAGGACGTTAACGCTCCCTTTTTGTCCCCATGCTTAAAAAAAGAAAAGAAGGATTCAAACCTTAAGTGGGAAGTGAATTACACAGAGTGGCTGCAGATGGGAGCCATTAAATGCCTGGCTGCCTTTTTTTTTTTTTTTTTTTTTTTT